CAGTACAACTGGATTTAGAATCACCTGGGAGATTAAAGTATAATTCTGGGTGTGTCTATAAGGAAGGTTCCAATTTTCAGAGGAATAAGTTGTGGGTGGGAAAGACCCACCCTGAATGTTGGTGGCACCATCCCATGGGCTGGTGGCCTGAATGGAATAAAGGGTAAGGATGAGAAATCCCTGTAAGCACCAGCATCCCCCTTTCTCTGTTTGCTGGTCCACCACCATGTCCTCCCAACTGTGATGAACTGGATCCTCCGAAAGCACAAGCAGAACAGATCTTTCCTACTTTGTCAGGTAGTTTAGTCACAGTGACAAGAATTATAATTAACACCCTGCCTAATACACAGGTTTCACTCTGCAGTAGAGGGAAGGTTTGATCTTACCTTTCATGGAAAATCTTTAAAAAAATTTGTTCGTTAATTTGAAATTTTCATACAACTTCATGTTCTCTCTCGCTCTCCACCCCCAATAACACACTGAATCCTGTTTGCTGCCCATATACACATGGGTATGGGGTCATCCACTGGAGCATGGTTGACCTACCAGGACCACACCCCTAAACAACCTACCAAGTTTTCTAAGAATAATTGAATAAGAATATTGAATTGACTAAGAATATATCTGTACATTGGGATAGGTGCAGATAATGACCTGGGTTGAATATGAAATGGATTGCTTGTTAACCAGTGTGGCTTTTGGCCAGAAGGGCCCTGACTTCATCAATGGATTGGCCCATTGATGACTGGTAATGGAATTGTTGGGTGGTCTGAGAATAGGAAGTGGAAGGAGGTAGGTCATAAGAGCATCCTTGAAGAGCGTGTCTTGTCCTGGCCCTGGTACTCTCCGCTTCCTGGCTGCCATAAGCTGAGGACCCTTGTCAGCCACACGCTTACCACTGCCTCGCCAGAGGCCCCAAATACTGATCAGAGCCTGAAACTGAGCTGAAATAACTTTTTCCTTTCAAATTGCTCTCTGTGAGTTTGAGGCCAGCCTGGTCTACATAATGAGTTCTAGACCAGCTACACAGAAAGACCTTGTCTCAAACAAAACAGAAATATCTAACGGTACATTACATGTAAGACTTAAGTTAGATAAACAAGATCAGGGTGGGTCAGGTAGGGTTTCTCTGAATTCATTTTTCTCCGTTGCCTGCTTTGGAGCAGTTTCCTAGCTGAAGCGCCATGTACACTTTCCCACTTCCTCCTCCCTTCTCAGCCCACCAGTTTCTCCTCCTGTTCTTTCCTTTTTTAAAAATGTTTTGCTTATTATTTTTATTTCATGTGTATGAGTATTGCCTGCATGTATGTGAATGCACCCATGTCGTGCAGTACTGCGGGGGTCAGAAGAGGCTTTGGATTCCCCTGTAACTGGAGTTAAGGACTGTTCATAGCCGCCATGTGGGTACTGGGAGTCGAACCTGGGTCCTCTGCAAGAGCAGTCAGTGCTCTTAACTGCTGAGCCATCTCTCCAGCCCCAAGGACTTTCTTTTTTAACAGACTTTATTTTTAGGGTAGTTTTGGACAACATTGAACAGAGTTTCCTCATGGTCTCCACCTCACCACGTAGCCACTTTTCAGTGTCCCCCAGCGGAGTACTGCGTGTTCTCACATCTCAGGTGACTGCAATGCGCAATGCAAGCATGGCCAAGAAGGAACGCAAATGAGAAATAAGAGTAGTTAATGCTTGTGGCAGACAAACAGTGCAGGAGTAATTCCAAGTAATGCCTCAGAACAAAAGGCAGAAATTCCTTCAGGGGCTCGATATGAATGTCCACACGGGAAAGCACTTTGTGAGTGGGCACATTTTAGAACATGCTCAGCTGAAGGTTGTAGGTCTAGAAGGAATGATGCTGTATTAGTCAGGGTTCTCCAAAGAAACAGAACCGGTAGAATGAATATATATGTATAGGGCTTTATCAGATTAGCTCACAGGATAGAGTTCGAGTAGTCCAATGATGGCTGCAACACACGGGAGAGGCAGAGAATCCATAGTCGCTCAATCCACGAGGCTGGATGTCTCAGTAGTCCCAATCTGTCACTGAAGGTCTGATGAATTCCAAAAGATCGACTGGTCTACAGTCTATAGCAGCAAGACAACTCACCAGTGAGAGAGAAGGCAAGCAGCAAGAAGCCAGGTGTTCTACTCTGCCATGGCCTTTAATACAGGCTGCCATCAGAAGGTAACACCCACATTTAGGGTGTGTCTTCCAGCTTCAGATAATCTGATCAAGAAGATCTCTCATTCAGTAAATCCCAGATTCAGTCTAGTTGACACTCAGGATTAGCCATCACAGATGGTAAACAGATTTAGAGTCATGCTTAACCCAGAGTCACGGAGCATATGCTGAAAGGTTAAAATGGCAGGTAGGAATCCCTCTTGCCATGCTTAGCTTTCTCCAAAAAACATGAGCTGATATGGAAGAGAAGCGCACTTTGAATTTACAGCAGTGCAGAGCTTCCATGCAGGTGCCCAACTCAGTGACTAACATGTGACAGTCGGAACCTACATTCGCTGTCACTCAAAGCCCATTGTTTATGATAGACTTCATGCATGGTGGTGTGCATTTTATGGGTTTAGACAACTGTATGATGACATGAACTCATCAGTAAATATTGTTACTGCATTTTAGTGTGTGTGTGTGTATGTACACGCTGCATGTGTGCCGTGTGGGGGTCTGGGGATGGCTTGAAGGAGTTGGTTCTCTCCTTCCTCCCTGTGGCTCCCGGGGATCAAACTTAGGTTGTCAGTCTTGATGGCAGGCACCTTTACCCACTGAGCTATCTCACCAGCCCAGATTGGCTTCTTTTGGGCTTTTGTTTTCAAGACAGTCTCACTCTGTAGCCCAGGCTGGCCCTGAGTTCATGATCCTCCTGCCTCAGCCTCTCAAGTTTGGCTTCTTTTGCTTAATGAGCTGCATTTGTTTCCTCCTTGTGTTTTCATGATGATAGTTCATTTCTTTTCAGAATAATACTTTGTGGTTTTATTGTGTCAGTTTATCCATTTACCTGCTGAAGAACATCTTAGTTGCTCCAAGTTAGTGCTGTATAAAACATTCACATATAAGATTTATTTAAAAACTTAAGTTTTCTATTCCTTGGGATAAATGTCCAGGGGCATGATTTCTTGGTCATACAGTTAGGAGGGTGTTGGCTCTGTCAAGAAACTAACATGCTGTCTCCACTCTGGCTCTGCCACTCTGCATTCCCACCAGCAATGAAAGGTCTTTGGGCTGACAGGGTGACTCAACAGGTAAAGGCACCTGCCGTACAAGCCTGGTGACTGGAGTTCTGATCCCAGGAACCCACATAAAGGTGGAGGGAGAGAACCAGCTCCATAAAGTTATCCTCTGACCTGCACACACACACTACAGCACACGTGCCCATCCATACATGTCATCTGCATATACACACATAATTTTTTTTTAAGTTCCTGTGGCTTCACAGCCTCCCCAGCATTTGCTGTTGAAAGTGCTTTGGATTTCAGTCCTCCTAATAGACGTGTGGTGTCTCATTATTATGTTAATTCGCATTTCCCTGAAGAAGTTCTATGAAGCACCTTTTCATAGGCTTACTTGCCACCCATGTCTGTCACTTGTATCAGATCCTTATACAAGCCAGTAAAATTCTCTTTAAATCAAAACTTCTTCCCATCAGTTGGAAACACTACTAATTTAACAAACCAAAGCAAAACAAAGTGTTTTATTTTTGCCATACTGGGTCTGGAACCCAGAGCCTCCGGCATGCTGGACAAATGCATATCACCAAGCCACACCCCGGCCCCAGCGTGTGCTTGAATGCTGAGATCTGAGAGAAAACGTTCTTCAGGGACTGTTAATATTGAGTGCCTACCACTGTTCCTGGCCTTTTGAATATCTTCTTCAAAAGCTTTCTGTCCCCCCTGGAAAAATACCACCTCACTTTGCAGCCAAGGAAGGCTGGGGTTTTGAAGAGTAAACCATGGAAAGGCCACCTGGCTCCTGTCCACAAGCACTTGATTTGAGGGAGCACCTGAGCAGTAGTCCTTCATGTGGGTGGTGCAGCTGCCATGCAAAGTCTGTGGTACCCAGCACGCCCAGACTCCTGGAAGACCAGTGTTAACTCAGCTTTAGTGCTGGGTGTGTCTGGCCTGAGTTAACTGGAACCTCCCTAAGGCAGGTTGCTTTGGTGTGGAGCCAAGTATTTGAGGGAACTTTTGAAGTGTAAAACAAGAGCCGCCTGTATAGAAAGGGGAAGTAGATAGTGACTGCAGAAGATTTCCCAGGAGAACAATATAATGCAGGCTGGTTTCCAGAATCATGGAGTAGCTGGGATTTTTACCTGAGCATGCCTGCTGTGGCCCCATCCTGCTTATGGTGTGGCCTGCTGGAACAGGACCTGTCTGGCGCATGTGGGGGGTGTGACAATGCAAGGACAAACCACTCCCGAGTCCCCCATAGCAAGTCCCAATCTTGTTCCTGACTCACAAGCCAGGCTTCGACTCTGACACTGTCACCCTGTCACATACTCCATGTGTGCTCCATATGACCCCTGTGTGGAGAGGGCTATAAGTTCCCTGTGTCCCGCTCATACCAACAGTATTCTAAATAATTTACTCCATGGGAAGATGTCCATCCCTGTGATCCCAGCAGATAGGGAAAGATCTGTGTTGAATACTTCTAGAAAGATTTATTTGATTAGCTATTTTTTCATCTTTAAATACAGTATTCTCAGTGTGGGTTCTTTGATGATGGTGATTGTCATAATGTACTAGATTCTCCTGAGTCTTTGTGTCCCTCTGTAAGATGGAGTGTCACTGGGAGGAGTAGAGAGCCTGCTCCTCAGCATTCAGTCCAAAACACAATAGCTCCAGGCAATGACAGCTTGGACTTAACAGCAGGTTACCTGCTCAACATAGCTGTCAGAATGTCTTCAGAGAATCAGCCACTCCTGAGGGAACCCAGGCAATTCTCTCACAACCAGGACTTGATCTTTGTGTTGATGGGAAATTTTTTCTTGCAGATCTCTCAAAGGCCTTGGTTCTGACAGAAATCGGGCCCAAGCGTGACCCTGCTACTCTGAAGCTATTCCTGAGCAACATGGAGCGGCTGCTGCACGCCAAGGCTCATGGGTACAGGTCTTCAGTCCTGGTAGCAACCTGTAGCCAGTGGGTTGAAAACCAAGTGTGCTCTTGCTAAACACTCCTAAGGGATGTGAAGAGGAAGCACCTGTGAGGTAGGACAGGAGACCTGGGCCACCAGACTCAGAGAAGTATGCCATGTGCCACCCTTAATGGAACACTCCAGTTGCAAGGTGTCACAAATGGGCCCTGTGTTCTTCTAGCCTGTGTTTGAAAGTCCAAGTAACTGACCTCGGGTTCCCTCAACCAGTGAGTCTTGTAAGTCTTTAGAGTTTCTCAGTCGTGTCCAGTGTTACCATCTACAGACACGTTAGACTACATCCATGCCTATCCTAGGACAAATGTTGCCCATGGGCCCCAGGTTAGAAAAATCTGCTAGACAAACTTGCTCCTACATGTTTAAGTCAAAATGACCTTTTACACACAAACACACACCATCTGTGTGGTACCCACCAGCCAACTGAAGGCCCTATCTATATGCAATGTTATACTGTTAAGTGCAGTCAGAACTTCAGGCCTGTGGCTGTACTGGGCGAATTCCCAGTCAGTGGCAGTCTTAGTGCCACACACTAGCATCATTGTAGAGCAGTCAGGCCTGTACTGAATCAGGCCACTGACTTCAGGCCTGCACTCTGTATCCTGAGCTTAGATCCTATGGCTCCTTTTAAAGTTCTGAGAGTGCTGAACAAGGGGCGAGGGGACGAGCAGCAGGCATGCCACATCAAGTGCCCAGTTCACTTCACCCATGTTTGTCCTCCTCTCTCCCCCAGGGTCCGAGTGATTGGAAGCTCAACTTTGGCCCTTTGCCACCTGGCCTCAGGAGCTGCCGACGCCTACTACCAGTTTGGTCTTCACTGCTGGGACCTGGCAGCTGCCACAGTCATCATTAGAGAAGCAGGTGGCATTGTGATAGACACCTCAGGTGAGCTTTGTGGCCTTTGGCCACCCTCCCCCCCACTGTACCCAGCAGCAGAACTAGAGCAGTGACAGAGGGGAGCACTTCCTGGGGACCCACAACACTGGATTCCCCACTTTCTCAGAGTTCTGCAGGTGCCACCACGCCAGGTGCGTGTTGCAGTGACCAGTCATAGAGGACTTTATCATGCCCTGCTTCACACACAGATCAGAGTAGCTTGGCCCCTCAACACCACCGCTTCACATCCACGTATCATTGATGGTCTCCTGTGGCTTCCAGGAGAGTCCAGTGGGATAGCAGAACAGATATTGTGGGCCCCTAAACTTTGAGGCTAGAGAATTCCCTAAGACCTGTAGCCCAGAACTGGATTAGCACCAGTACCCAGCACGAGTGTCCTGTTCCTTCAGTCTCAGTGCCACCGAGTCCCAGTCACTGATCCCCCTTATCTCTTGGAGCATAACTGAGCCCCATGAGCATCTACATAGCCATATAATGCCTAGCAGACCCCTCCCCAGATTCCTGATGAATCTTCCATTTTTCTCCCTCAGTTTTAGTTCTGAGGTTGTTAGCAGAAATGCCATGGCTCACTTTTAACTTTTGGGTATAGAAACTGGATCTTCTTCTATGTCTGGTTTCTACCTTTGTCCTGTTTCTCTTTTGAAAGTCTTTAGTCTCCTAGAAAAACATAAAAGTGATGCCATGTTGCCTTCAGCAGCAGAACTGTACAAACCAGTCTCATTAAAAGGCATCCTATGTGGAGCTGGAGAGATGACTCAGTTATTAAAAACACTCACTTGCTCTTGCAGAGGACCAGGGTTTGTTTCCCAGTACCCACATGGTGGCTCATGACATCCTGTAACTCCAATTCCAGGGAATACAGTACCCTCTTCTGACCTCCACAGGTCCCTGCACACATGTGATACACATACATACATTCAGGCACACACATAGAAATAAATAATAGATGTTTTAAATGCATCCCTCATTCACTTTTATCACCTCAAGGCTCAAGTCTGCTCATTGGTTCCCAGCGAGTGATGGCTCCTACATCATACACCCAAGAAAGATGCTTGGAGCACATGAAAAGGCAGATTGGCCTCTCCCAGACCTACTGAGTCAGAGAAGAACCTTCATCCCTCTAGGCCACAGCAGTCTTCTGCCTGATCAAGTACAGGATGAACTGCTCCCCATCTTGTCTTATCTTGTTTTGCATTTCACAGACCCCTGCATTTAACCAGCATGTTGCTGAGACAGGGCAGCTTCAGAGCTCGGGTCTGTGTAGCCTTGGCCACGTTCCCCCTGGGGCAGAGCGGGTAGCAAAGAGGCATCATGCCTCCCTCTGCCAGGTTCATTTCTTAGCCACCTGCTGGGTACAAACCCTGTTACTCCACCTCAGTCCTGGGGGCTGTTTTCCTCGGTGTACATGTATATGAGAAGTTGCTGTGCCGGACTGTTCTGCCAGACTGTTCTGCAACCTCCTATAACCTGGATGTTTGCTTTCTCCTCTCTGTCCACACAGGTGGACCACTTGACCTCATGTCTTGCAGAGTGGTTGCTGCTGGCACCCGAGAGATGGCAATGCTCATAGCTCAGGCCTTACAAACTATTAACTATGAGCGGGATGATGAGAAGTGAGCAGCACATGGAGCAGTGGGGCCCCAAAGGGCCTTCCTGCAAGGCTCAAGTTCAGCGGCTCCCTGAGAAAAGGCTGCCCAGGTGGCCTGTCTTCTGAGACAAGTGTCTGCTACCCCAAAGGGAGGTGTCACACTGACATGTGTGACTAGCTCTCTGAATCACAGCTCTCTCACTGGGACTTGGTGCTTAGCTGGTTTCTCTCTAATCTCACATAGCCCTTTTCAGGTCGGTACATGTTCTTCCATGAGGGCCAAATCCAAATCTCTTATGAGGTGTAGGTTAGTGATTCAGTCTCATTGCTTTTCCAGAATGCAAATCTCAGGTAATAAAGCTTTAGAACTTGTTCTTGGGCCCTCCCTACCCGTGGTACTACAGAATGCAATAAATCAGAATTACAGTGTTCTGCCCTTCTGTTCCTCCATGTTACCTGCCTCCTCGGACACCTCTTGACACCAGCTGTAGGCCCAGGCCTGTGGGGGAGGTTTCCACAAAAGCCCAGAGGTCAGCACGACACCTGTCCACTGCCTTGAATGAGTACTCCACAAACTAGCAGTGATTATGTTTAGATCCAGACTTCAAAGTGTCTTAGAAAACAGACTGGGAAATGGCAGGTGGCATCTCTGAAACAATCATCTATTTACTGAAGAGAAAGCTAACCAATTTTCTGGGTCTTATTTGTGTCCCTTTAGAAGTAGAGTTATTTATGAGTAATTCAACCTTAGACTGGCAGGTAATTCTGTGATTCTACAGGAGCAGCCTTAAAGGAACTCTCATAGCATAAGCAGATGCACAGAACCTGGGTGTCAGTGTGAGCAGGGCAAGGAGCAGTGTTTGGGGCTTCAAGGTCAGATGGCAGGGGGCTGGGAGAGCCATCTGCTTATCCCTGTCTGGGGAGTAACTCTGTCTCTTCCAGCCACTAGGCCACCTGGGCAAATGATGGTTCTAAGTCCAGATCCCCTTCTAACCCAGGTTTCCTGCCCTCTGGCCTTGGGTGCCTGTGCTTCCTCCCTTGCAGCACATGGACAGAGGGTGTATATAAACCTGACAAAAGTCCCTGGCACTCAGCAAGTGTGAGCCCTGCATAGGCATCTACTGTCTCCTGTCTCGGAGTTTCCCTGCATGAAAGAACTAGATTACCTAAGCACCTAGCCATGTCCTGTCCCTGAGTGTAACCAGGACACCTGTCCAAGTGTTCACAAATGCTTTCCACACAGGATGAATGACCAGCTGGAGAGTGGCAGAGGGGTTGGTTCTGAGTTTGTGTTAAAGCAGCAAGACAGTCAAGAGCTTTTTGTTCTCTGTAATCCCAGGAGACTGACCTGTTCTTTGCAGTCTTTATTCCACATTTCTATCCCATAGAAAAGCACGCTGCCTCTGAGATTGTAGCTGTGCATCCAGCCAGGCTCTGCCTGGTAAGGGATGCCTCTCTGGGACACTGTCCTTGGTGCCGTTACTGTCTTCAGCTTATGGAAGTCTGAAGCCATCCTTCCCATGAACTGCCATACTACACAGAACAGGGTCATGGGTCACAGCTGCTGGAGCCCCTAGGTCACAGGCAGAGGAGACGTTAAGAGTGTAAAGACCAATGAACGTCTGTAGCTGATGTTCCTCCATCGACTCTGTGTGTGTGACTGAACACATGTATGTGTTACAGATGGCAAACCATGTGCAAGATGACTTTGGAGCAGCCAAAATATGTATGAATTTAGCCATGACATTCCAAGGGAGATTAGTTATGCCACATTTAGGAGATGAGTCCTTCCAGCTCAGTCCTGGTAGGGGAGCAACCAGGATGGGTCTCAAATAGATTAAGTGACCAAGAAGGAACTCAACTCTGTTAGAAGTAGTCACCAGAGCAAATGAGGCACTTTGTGGCTAGGGCTTTAAACCAAGTCATGGTTTTCTGAATCTTCACAGGAGGAGAAAACGATCTTTTTCAAAATTGCTTTGATGGGCCCTCTCCCTGACCATCCCCTCACCCTGTTGACAGCCCTGCCATGTCACAAGGACAGCTTCTCTCTGCAGGTGTTGAGCACAGTCAGGCAGACACCTAATAACCTGGATGTGAAATACCAAGCAGGTGATTTTGTCAGCCTAATGGGGGAAAGGTCTGCACCTCAGTAGACAGCACAGGTGGGAGAGCCGGGCCCTGTATAGAAAGCCCTGGGCACTGTGATGGGTAGGGCTGTGCTTGAGATAGCGTCTGCCCCTGCAGTGGTAGTAACCATACTCTGCACAGGAAGGTGGTGGCCAGTGAATGCAGAATCCGCCCAGCCTCTGTATCTCCTGCTTCCTGAGCCCCTGCGCTGTGCATGCAAGGCTGGGACTCCAGGTCTTGTTCAGCTTGGATGCACTGAGGAGGGCTGGTGCTCCATGTCAACAATTAAAATGTTTCCCCTAAATATCATAGGCTGATCTATAGGCTATATTTACATAAGCACATAGATAATCTTTAGCCATTTTGTATTACTGCCTTGAGTTGACCTTAAAGGAATGACAGTGTGCTGTATAAGTTAAAATGATGGATACAGAGCCTTTAATGAAACTTATGTGTATGGGGGCGGGGGGTGAAACCGAAAAACAGTACTAAAATATGGCAAGTTTATATCGTTTTGAACATAATCTTTTAGGAGTTGAAGATGATGGGGATTTGGGGGATTTTTTAGCATAACTCTTGTTGAGAGCTGGGGGTGGAGCTTGGGGCCTCATGGACATTAGACAAGCTTTCTACCACTGAGCTATCCTAGCCCTGAGCATACATTTTTAATGCTTAAAGCTTAGGGAGGGGGCAGTACTGGAGACATGACTCAGCCTTTAAGAGCAGTGGCTGCTCTTACAGAGGACCCAGATTCAGCTCTCAGCACCCACATGCCACCTAACAACTATCCCAAACTTCAGTTCCAGGAGATCTGACGCCCACTTCTGAGCTCCATGGACATTGCATACATACACACACACGGGTGTACTTACACACTGGCAAAACACAACTTTTTAAAAAGTTTCAAGTACAGAGCATGAGCTGAACAAAGACCAGAATTCTGGTTCTGAATTAAGTCTTGGTTCTAGATGAGCCGGGTGACAGTAGGCAGGACCAGAGTCTTGAAGTATCTGTAGAACAGTTTTCAGGGACTTCCAGATTCTTTTCCCTCTACATGTGAGTCTGGGAGGTTCCATGCATGCCACATGGTAATCTCATGGAGAGAACTTGTTCTTAATTAGTGGCAAATTTGCATTGTTTGACTTAAAGTAAGGACTGAGCCTTGCCACGTTGTTAATCTCTTTCCCTTTGAGGAAATGGAGGCCAACTCGGATGCCTCACTGGCAAATAGCAAAGTCTCCCATCCTTTATCTTCATGGGACCAGTTGCCCTGGTCTTTTCAAGCTACGGGATACTTCCAAAAAACGTGCAGCTATTTGGAGGAAGTGGCTTGGGTGGCTTTTGCTTTTTTCCATCTCCAGAAGTAGCTTTATTGTCGACTTTATTTCTTCATACACGTTCATTCTAATGGAACTTTACAATGAGTAGATTTTTTTAAATAAGTGTTTCTAGACAGAGTCTCATGGATCTCAGGCTGACTTCGAACTTTCTACATAGCCAAGGATGACTTGAACTCCTGCCTTCACCTTTCCAGTGCTGGGATTACAGGAATGTGCCACCATGCCCCGTAATAAGATGTCTTGGAAAATTAGACCTTGAAAGCTATGTTCCATTTTCTCATTATCCCAGTGGGCTCAGATCTGTATATTTTTATTTTCTCAAAATATACTCAAAACAGCTCCTTGACTATATGCAGATGCACAGGAAATTCCTCAGATTCTTCATGCATTTTGAGATGTGAGAGATGTGATGCTTGTTAACTATATGTCTTTTAGCTCTGATTGTTGTGGAGAATTGTTTCCAAATCCCTCCAGGAACAGCCTCTCCTGGGGACCCTGGAGACAGCAGCTTAAACTACCTCAGTAGTGGGGTCTAAAACTGACTCTGGTGAGCATCTGGCCTGCGCATAATCCTGCTGCAGGAGAAGCAGAAGGAACCCTGGGGAATGGGGAAGCCCCAGGGCTAGGCTGGGCAGGGCCTGTGCTGGCTTGCTGGCTCACTGAAGGACCTGCCAGGAATGCAGCCAGCCAGCTGGCTTCCGTGGTGCTGAGTCAGCAAAATCATCTTCTACTTCTGTTCCAAACAGCAGTCGCCTTACCTGGTGGTCCTCGAATCTCTTCCTTCAGAATTCTCATTGAATTGGACACACTGTCCATAGGAGTCAAGATGTGGATTTGTGTTGCAGTGGTGAATGCCCTCAGGAAAGCCACTGACTGAGCCTTCCTGCGCTTAGATGAAGGCTGTCTCCAGGCTGCTGGCCCGCCCATAGCTCAGGGCTGTTGAGAGATGGCTCTGGGCAGCTCACTGGAAAGACTAATGTGAGGCATCAGGTGCATTTGATGTTCGGTTTTTAGTGAATCTGTCACCAGTATTCTTCACAGAAGTTCAGTCCTACACAAATTCCCCACAGTTCCGTTAGTCCTGGGTCAAAATGACCAGCTTCTACTTCCGGGAAGCTGACAGGAAAGCTGCTGGTGTCTGACCAGCTGGCCAGTCTGGTAGAGGGTGAGGTGGCATCCATCTGTCAGGTAATCAAGGTAATGACCAATAACTGTCTTGTTCATTTAAAAAAATAATTTGTCAATACTTGAAAACTACATATTTATGCTGAGCATGGTGGTGCACACCTTTAATCCCAGCACTCAGGAGGCAGAGGCAGAGGCCAGCCTGGTCTCCATATTGAATGTAGACCAGCTGTGGCTACAGGGAGACCCTGTCTCAAAAAGATCAAAAGAAGAAGAGGAGGAGGAGGAAAAAAATACATATTTGTGCAAATCGTGATGTTCCTATGTATGTGGACACTAATGTTGAAGTCAGTAAGGCATCCATTAGGTATGAGAAAACATTCAAAATGCTTTGTTCTAGCCTTTTTAAAAGTTATTTTTATTTTATGTATATGCGTGTATTGCCTGCGTGTAGGTAAGTGCAGTGCCCACAGAGGACAGAAGAGGCTGTTGGATCCCCTGGAACTGGAGTTACAGACAGTTGTTAGCTGCCATGTGGGTGTTGGGATTTGAACCTGGGTCTTCTGCAAGAACAACCAGTGTTCTTAACTGCCAAACCACCTCCCCAGCCCCTGTTCTAGCCTTTTAAAATATGCAGTGCCTGGTCATTGTATATAGACCCCTACTATGCTATAGCATAATTAATTATTAATGCTTTTGCTATTATTATTCAAAAGTTAAAAGGTCCTGACATCTCTCATAACTTAACCAGGGTGGCTGGCCTATTAGAGAAAACTAGAAATGCCTTGTCAGGCAGCCCCACAGCTCAGACAGGCTTTGCTGGGTTGAAAACCCCTCAGACTATCGGCATAGC